GCTCGCAAAGACCTCACCTATTTCCTTTGGGTGCGGTCAGAGAGAGAGAGAGAGAGAGAGAGAGAGAGAGAGAGAGAGAGAGAGAGAGAGAGAGAGAGAGAGAGAGAGAGAGAGAGAGAGAGAGAGAGGAGAGGGAGAGAGAGAGGGAGAGGAGAGGGAGGGGAGGGGAGAGAGAGAGGGAGAGAGAGAGAGAGTGAGTGAGAGTGAAAGAGTGAGAGAGGGAGAAAGAGAGAGAGAAAGAGAGTAGAGAGAGAGAGAGAGAGAGGAGGGAGAGAGATGAGAGAGGGCACGAGAGAGAGAAGAGGAGCAGATAGAGAAAAGTGGAGTTGGGGAGAGAGAGAGTGATTCCTTCACTATAACTACACATGTATTTATGAATTCGTTGTTTTTTTTACACTCACTGTAAGTCACTTTCGAGATAGAGAGAGAGGGGAGAGGAGAGAGAGAGAGAGAGAGATGAGGAGAGAGGAGAGAGGAGGAGAGAGAGAGAGAGAGAGAGGAGAGAGAGGACAAACAGACAACAGACAGCAGAGAGGAAAGACAGACAAGACAGAAAGATCTGTGTTGTTACAGTTTGCGATAAGTTCAGAGGGGAGAGATGTCTACATATCCATATCTATCTGTCTAATTGTAATACAAGGCCAAAGTATGATAGAGTCATATTTTTAAAAATGAGAGAAAAATCTACTTTCTCTGCTTTCTCTTCTCTATACACTTTACAAAATCAACATCTTTCTTTTTTTGGCTTCGCTTCCTTCCCCAAAGCTGTTCCTCTCACGAGATACCCTCTTAATAATACGACCAACAGGAGCCACCCTGTTCGTGGAAAGGGTGATGCGCCTAGACGTTCGAGCGCTACAATGTCCTTGACGGAGGAGGGGTAAGGGACCTTTCATTACGAAGTGTGCATTTGCATCGTATTGGGTCATGACATACAGTACTTACCGTGAGCATTTCTGTGTGCGGCGGCGGGTGTTGAAGATTTTATGTACTTATACATCTGAGTTATTTTTATTAAGTATAATATATTTATATATAAATAGGTTATATGATATAGTATAGTATGTGGTATATATAGTAGATGCGTGTTGTAGTTGTGTGTGTGTGTGTTGTGTGTGGTGTTGTGTTGTGTGTTGTGTGGTTGTGGTTTTGGTTGTGTGTAGTGATAAATATACATAATATAGAGGATAAATATGATATCTAGCTAATTATATTTTCTCTATATATATGATAGTATATAAGAGAGAGGGAGAGGAGGAAGAGAGAGAGAGACGGGGACGGGGGAGAGAGAAGATGAGAGAGAAAGAAAGGAGAGGAGAAAAGGAGAGAGGGAGGGAGAGAGAAGACGGGGGTGGAGTGAAGCGAGAGAGGAAAAGAATGAGAGAAATGAGAGAGAGGGAAGAGAGGATCGAAGGGGGGCGGCTGCGGAAGAATGACATATATAGGAGAGAAGAGAAGTGGAGGAGTGGGTCAGTTGAGAGGGGGAGAGAGAGAGAGAGAGAGTTGAGTAGTGAATAGAGTGAGAGAGAGAGAGAGAGAGAGAGGGAAGACAAAGAGAGTGAGAGGGAGCAAGAGGGGAGAGAGAGAAAGAGGGAGGGAAGGAGGAGAGAGAGAGAGATGAGAGAGAAGAGAGAAGGAAGAGAGGGAGGGAGAGAGAGGAGAGAAGGAGAGAGAGAGAGAGAGAGAGAAGGAAGAAAGAGAGAGAGAGGAGAGAGAGAGAGAAGAGAGAGGAGAGAAGGAGAGAGAGAGAGGAGATAGAGAGAGAGAGAGAGAGGAGAGGTGGAGGAGAAAAAGAGAGAGAGAGAGTGAAGAAAGAGAAGAGAGAGGAGAGAGGGAGCAGAGAGAGGAGAGGAGAGAAGAGAGAGAAGAAGAGAGAGAGAGAGAGTGAGAGACAGAGAGTGAGAAAGAGAGAGAGAGAGAGAGAGAGAGAGAGAGAGAGAGAGAGGAGAGAGAGGAGGAGAGAGAGAGAGAGAGAGAGAGAGAGAGAGAGAGAGAGAGAGAGGAGAGAGGAGAGAGAGAGAGAGAGAGTCAAGAGCGCCTAGGAAACCATCAAGGCCCCCAAACTCCCGCCCGCAGATCGTGTCCTACATCGAGGAGCTCCCCGCCCAGTACCCCGAGGACGTCCAGGTGGAGGAGATCGGCGCCAGCGTCGAGGACAGGCCGATATACCAAGTCATAATCAACAGAAACGATTCGGCAAGCACGGACAAGCCAGTCATATTCATTGAAGCAGGTATGTTCTACAATTCCGCTTGGGGACAGTTGGGTTTGTGCTGGTATGTCGAAGCGTTGCTATGCAAATGAGCTGAATCGTTGGGTGTTTGATCATCAAGGTACGGTGGAATAGAGCGAGGTGGAGCTTCAGTCGAGTCCAGGTGGGGACGGACCTCTCAGGCAGAAGTAAAGTCCGAAATGATGGGGAATTTGAAGGGGTCCGAGATGATTCTAGTTCCGTACCCTTTGTGGAAACTGCGTGGCTAAATGGCAGAGTTTCGAATCCATAGCATATCCGATAATAGTAGTTGCTATTGCTGCTACTAAACTCATTCATAAGAATTGTCTTCACGTCTAAAAGCGGCTTACTGTATCCCATAAAAAGAATTACTATTGAGTATCGGTATTGAAACTCGACTTATCAGCAAGAATGATTGTCTTCACTTGAGGGCCGAACACCTGGCGCATCATGCGTTAGGGTCCCGCCGAAGGTGCAGATCAACCAGGAAGGCAGACGCTCGGAGGGGCGGTCCCCACTCGCCGAAACTGAAGGGAATTCTTGAAGAGGGACCTCGACACTCACACCTGATCATATTTTTACCCCAAATTCCTGAGATCTAACATACACAACCCCTTCCTGCAGGGATTACGCGAGGGAGTGGGTNCACACACACACATGTATATATATATATATTTATATATATATATATATATATATATATATATATATATATATGAATATATGTAAATATATAAATACACACACACACACACACACACACACACACACACACACACATATATATACATATATATTATATATATATTATATATATATATATATATATGAATATATATATATATATATTATATATATGTATTAAATATATATATATGAATAGTATATATATGATATATTATATATATTATATATATATATATATACATATATTCATATATATATATATATTATATATATATATATATATATATTATATATATATATATGTATGTTATATATATGTATGTATGTATATGAATATTATTTACATATGTGAATATATATATAATATATATATATATATATATATATATAGTATATATAATATATATATATATATATATATATATAGTATATTATATATATTACATACATATATATGAATATGTATTACATATGTGAATATATATATAAATATATATTATATATACAT